CAAACCGCACCCTTACACAGACCTCTGCTTCTGCCCCAGCTTCCCTGAAAGATCACCATGTTGCTTGCGTCGATTAAAGGAGATTTTGCCTTTCCTAAATAATTCCCACCCTCTCCCCCCCCATTTCAGAACCCCGTGAATTCCCCATCATGCTCCCGTGCACAGCTACGTGCTCCCTGCACTTGGCGCAGAACCGCCAGTCCGGGGTCATTTTGGCAGAGCGGACAGGAGACTGATGTACCTGAAACGTAACACTGCCCTCCCTTATCCCCCGATCAAAGTGCTGTGATAGAGAAATTCTCAGTGAGTCTTACGATCCGTGTACTACATACCTACTGCAAAACACACACAGCACAGTTACAGGCAATATTAGCCGTAGGTACGTACATCAGTGGCCTTCTTTTCAGCCTGCTCTAGTTTTTCCTGGGCATCTTTGAGAGCCTCCGAGTACTTATCCAGCTCATCTTCAGTTCCTTTCAACTTCTTCTGCAGAGCTACCAGCTCATCCTCCACCTTTCAAAAGGGAAAAAACAAACAAACAAAGTGAGCGTTTTGATGTGTTATCAGTTACAGTTTAATAGGGTTAAAATGTTTCTTTACTATTCTTTTTAACCTAACGGAACATACAAAGCAAAAGACCAGATCAAAGTTCTGCTGGGGCAAGTAGTCTGAGAACAACTGGTAGCAGTTGCCAGGGAGAGATCATTACAAACACATCATCGTTAGAACAACATTCCCTGCCGCTGTACACACAGGATCTGGTTTGATACATAACTTGGTATAAGGCCTTTTTCACCTTATTTCTATTTTGGACTCCACAGCACCCTGCAGCAGTTAATTCTACAGTATAATTATAAATGTTTTTAAATTACATCCTTTTGTTTGCTCTAACACTATTACCTGATGATTTATTAGGAAACTATTCAATTCCTGTATAGCTAGAAAAGACGAGTGGCTGTCCCCTATTCATCCTTCCTATGTTGTTCAAGACACTTCAAACCAAACACGATACTCCAGAAGCAAGAGGGAACAGGCCTGGCTAGCAACAGACCCTGCTGTAAGCCAGACGTGGGACTTGATGACCTCCGGAGGTCCCTTCCAACCTCAATTACTCTCTGACTAATTGTGGGCCAACAAGGTATGCTCCATCCTACCATGAGGTTCAGACTCTCTCCTCCATACCATATAAATCCATACTGTACGCTAGAACAGTACTATTTATAACCTGCTGGGAGACTGTTTAATGACAAACTGTCTCATGCTCCCTGAAGAATTTACATTATCAGGAGGCTTTCTGCTGATAAGGGCGTGCCTGCAAACCCATCTGCTCCATCTTTTCATTTGCAATAAAAAACAGTTCAGTCTGCAGAGAAGCTGATTTAACCATTTAGCTCCACCTTCCCATAAATTTAGTCTATCAAAATAGTTCACTCAAAGTAGTTTGTGTTTTTGGGCACTGGCTTTCTTCATTCTAACTTCAAAGATGGTTTTAATGGCATTTTTGGTAGCGTGTTATTCTTGAACATTGTTATGTTGCTATACTTTTACTCAGTGTAACCAGACAGCGTGAGAGAACTGAATATGCTTGCTTGGGTGCGTTAACAGAGGGGCAGTAAGCAGGGCTGAAGGAGATGACGTTTACTTTGTATGTGACGTTAAAATCACTACTTGAGTACTGTGCCCACATTAAAAAAAAAAGCTGAAAATTTGAGACAATTCAGAAAAGAGGAGTAAGATCAAAGATTAATTTTTCTCTTTTAGCTTTTTATTGTTAATTACCCTCATACAGATCCTTGAAAATTCCCACAAGTGTGTCATCACTCTGTAGGAAATCACCTTTGATAACTAAATGTAAAGGAAGGCTAAGCATTCAATCACCATTAACTGCTCTGAATAACAATCTGGTGTGGCTGTTACTGAGTGCAGAAAGATTAGCTGGGAAACAGCGGCCCAACTGAACAGCATCTGTTCTAGGAAAGAAATAGGGACTACATATGTGGGATGATGTGTGCAGGTTGTAGAAGCTGACTATAATGACAGAAAAGAGACAAGTAGTTGTCCTTGTGGAGGGGGAAGACAGCAGCAGCTGGTCCTTTTGGAAACTTTTTTTCCTGTTGCTTTAGCTAAATGGATAATCAGTTGAAAGTTTAGTAATGTCATCCTGGATCTCAAACTAAACTTGAACATAAGAAATGTTTTTCCAAATGAATGCTAATAATGTATTATAGCAGTCTGAAAGATTTAGTAGAAGCAGCCACATTTAGAGGGTATAAAAGGAAAAGACATGGTAATTTTACAAGAAGTGCTATAAGAAACTTGCATGTAGTCAACTTACATTTCAAGACTGTTCTGAAAATACTATAGCTCAAACATGAGTTAGATACCCAGAATAAAGAACATTGAAAAGCAAAAGAATATGAAAATGTTATAATTAAAATTCAGTTAAAAGAAGAGCTTTCAAATTAAGATATTTCTGATTATTCTTAACAAAAAAATAATGCAACATAGCTACTGTTGAGTCACAGCTGGCACCTCTAAGGGGCACTCTGTATACCAAGGAATAGTCAAGTGAACTTTATTAATTCACTTCAAGGAAAGGCTCAATTAATGTTTAGACAGCTGACTCTTCAGGAGGTATTAACACTAGTTCTACAGGTGTTCAAGGTATACAGCTTTGATTTGGAGTATGTAAGGCCTTTTCCATGGAATCACAAGCACAAGAAAATGAAGGCAATTATGTAAGATTCAAGAAAACTTAGATAAAGTACTCTTAATAATCTGTGGATAGTGCTAACATTGCAAAGACTCAGATGGCTGAAAGAAGTTAATAGCTAGCCCTGGCTGCATGAGTGTAACACCGCAAAAAGGCAAAAAACTTCAAAAGAAGATTAGCTGAAAACCCAACTTCAAATTATTTTGCTTTCTGAATTACAAAGTTGCAACACAGTATTTTGTTACAGTTATTGCCACAGTGCATATGCAATCAGTGATTTTATTTCTACTTACCTGTTTGCATTTGTCCTCTGCCGCCTTCTTATCCGTTTCAGCTTGCTCTGCTCTGTCAATGGCATTCTCCTTATCTAACTTCAACATCTGCATCTTTTTCTTGATAGCTTCCATTTTTGCTAAAGGTTAGGTTGTATCTGTCACAGAACAGAAAGAATTCTGAAAAGTAAAGTTTTAGCTGGTTAACAGCTTGGGCAGAGAAAGAAGTCGTACCCAGCCAAGTCACAGGGAAAATGAGCTCAAGTGGTTGTAGGGTGCTTTAAACGGAGAGACCCCTGGACAAAACCCAGATCTATTGGCCTCTTCTCTGATCTTTCATACACAGCCTTTCTAAGGAATGAGCTGGAACAGACTCACTAGAGGAATCTTCACCACTCCATCTCCTTATTTGGGTCCTGTTTTCTTAAAGAGAAAACAGTTTCCATTTTTAATCTTCTGACAGAAGCAAAAGTGTTGACATCTGAACACATGCTTGAAAGAAAGCTTATTAGCACCCCTCCGTGTCTGCAGAGCAATTAAACAGCCCAATAGATCTATGGGGATGGCCTGGCTTCTTATAATAATGGCATAAGACTAATGAAGGAAAGGGAAGGATCTTTTTGGATTATTCCAAAATAAATCCATGCATAGAATGAAATAAAAAAACCCTACACTTAAGAGGCAGCTAAATTTATGTTACAAAAAGATGCAGGATATGGTATGAGACAGCAGGGTTTTTTTTTTTGTTTGTTTGTTTTTTCCTGTGAAAATTAGCAGTGGTGTTAAGGAACTAGCTATGATCTGTAATAGTTTAATACATGGCAGAGGTCAGATTTTGATACCAAGTTCAGGCTCAAAAGCATTCAGTGAGTTTGAGTGCCTGTCTTTGAAATTACACTCACTAAATACTTAGGGAATTGAACAATACGCCTGAAGTTGCAGTCTTATAAGCACTGTAAATTATTTTTCTGCTGTATGAAGCAGTCACCTTCTCTCTGTAAGGCAACAGCAGGCTCTGTGAAGAATATCAGGAGCAGCTCCACTGAGGACACCAACAAGAGGATCCAATGGCCCTGGGACAAGCCCCGTTTCCTTTCCGAGCCCTATTAAACACATCCTTATATCCCAACTGCCCTTTCCCATCCCTTCATATACTTTAGCTTATCTTCACAGCCCCCCGACACCTGCTTTGCCCTGACTGCAGCACAGACTTACTTATTCCACCTCCCAAAGCAGACTGAAAGCACTTACTGACTTTGCTACAGAAGGCAACCTGCACGCCCTCATATTCCCCTACTTCTTTCCCAAATTCAGGTCCCGTTAACCACCTCATGATCTCCCACACCCCAATTCTGCCCCTGCCCCATGCTCCCTGCCAGGCCACCCACAGCCCAAACTCCCTGCACACCCTCACAAACACTGTCAGGCCTTCCCTCAGAAGTGCTCACAGGATCCCCAGCCGTAAGGGGTAGAAGAAGACTCAGCACAAGACCCAGGGCCTCTCTCATCCTCTGGAGTGTGCTGGCATGGCACTGAAAGATCTCCAGGAGTGACTTCTGAGAAAAAATTGCCCTTTATTTATCTAAACTTGATAGTAGAATGGACACAGAGCCAACACCAGCACAATGCCCATAAGCAAGGCCAGAGCCCCAAAAACCATCCCCAAAGCACCACCAGGCCAGTCATAGCACTCGCTAGGCTGCTCAGGCTGCCTTTTGTGAGAGATTTACTGTTGTTTCGATTCCAAATAAAAACAAAGCTCACGCCACTGCTAAAACCAAGACCTCAACTCCCCACGGCCCCAACCACTGCCTGATAAAGAGTGCTTTGCCCCACCCCCCCCCGAGATGGCTGCCAGGAAGCGCCCCGAGGGGCTGTGTTCTGGCGGCGCCAAGATGGCGGCGCATCCGAGGACTACATCTCCCAGAGGGTCGTGCGCGATTGTCCCGCTGGCTCGCTCCGGGACAAACCGCTGGCCCCCTCAGCCCCGGGCCGGGGCCGCGCAGCAGCTCCTGTACCTCCATCCCTCATTAATGGCAATTAAATAACCCCAGGTTCAGCCGCTTGGTTTCGTTCCCCACTCCCAAAACAATGCTTGGAATTTTTAACAGCTGTAAGTTGAGCGTTCGCTGGGAAACCGGTACTGGCTCTTCCTGCTTTGATGTGTGCCTGGACTCCTCGGCACACCTCGCATAATTAAATGTGCTTTTCCCCCCAGAAATGGCCTTATCTGCCTCCCCTCCTCTGGCCCGCGGGTACTGCTGCGACAAGGTGGCCCCATGGACATTTTTAATCCAGTTCCAATGAACTGAACAGTGAAAGATAAAAACATGCAGGTCCTGAGCCTGGGAACAGGTTTAAGGAATAGGGGTGAGGCACTAAATTAACAGTGCCGCTGAACCTGCAGAAATGGCATTAAAAGCTAACAAACCACAGTGATCACCATCACAGCTTGCACTTCATAGCATCATTTAGGTTGGAAAAGACCTTTAAAATCATCGAGTCCAACCGTTAACCCAGCACTGCCAAGCCCACCACTGAACCATATGCCTAAGCACCACATCCACACGTCTTAAATCCCTCCAGGGATGGTGACTCCACCACTTCCCTGGGCAGCCTGTTCAGTGCTTGACAACCCTCCGGGTGAAGAAATTTTTCCCAATACCCAATCTAAACCTCCCCTGGTGCAACTTGAGGCTGTTTCCTCTTGTCCTATTGCTTGTTACTTGGGAGAAGAGACCAACACCTACCTCGCTACAACCTCTTGTCAGGTGGAGAGCGCTGAGGTCTCCCGTAAGCACCCGTTTCTCCAAGCTAAACACCCCCAGTTCCCTCAGCCGCTTCTCATAAGACTTGTGCTCTAGACCCCTCAACCAGCTTCGCTGCCCTTCTTTGGACACGCTCCAGCACCTCAATGTCTTCTTCTAGTCTTTCTAGTACTGAACACAGCATCTGAGGTGAGGCCTCACCACTGATGAAGACAGCGGGGGTGATCACTGCCCTCGTTCTGCTGGCCACACTATTTCTGATAGAAGCCAGGATGCTGTCAGCCACCTTGGCCACCTGGGCACACTGCTGGCTGTCGACCAACACCCCCAGGTCCTTTTCCACTGGGCAGCTCTCCAGCCACTCTTCCCCAAGCCTGTAGAATTGCATGGGGTTATTGTGACCCAAGTGCAAGACCCAGCACTTAGCCTTATTAAACCTCATACAATTGGCCTCAGCCCATTGATCCAGCCTGTCCAGATCCCTCTGCAGAGCCTTCCCACCCTTGAGCAGATCAACACTCCTGCCCAACTTGGTGTCATCTGCAAACTTATCGAGGGAGCACTCGATCCCCGCGTCCAGATCATTGATAAAGATAATAAACAGAACTGGCCCCAATATTGAGCCCTGGGGAACACCGCTTGCGATCAGCTGCCAACTGGATTTAACTTCATTCACCACAAGTCTTTGGGCCCAGCCATCCAGCCAGGTTTTTTACACAGTGAAGAATACACCCATCCAAACCACGAGCAGCCAGTTTCTCCAAGAGAATGCTGTGGGAAACGGTGTCAAAGGCTTTACTAAAGTAAAACATTTCCTCTTGCCCTCTCCCTCATGAGTTTGCTGGCTTAGCCCTGGCCAGGGGCGGTGGGTTGCTGCAGGGATTTGGGCTGATGGTGGAACCCTGGGTCAGTGCTGGTGATCACAGACCAGCGCTGAAGTGCCCGAGGAGACACGTGGGGTCCTGGCAGCCGCCACCATGATGCAGCTGCCTCTTCAGCCAGCTGGTGCAGCACAGCCGTGGCGATGACCACTAGCTTCCTTTGGAGCAATGTACACCTTTAATAGCTTTCTTCTGCTGGCTGCGACCCGGTGGTCCAGCTCACATGCTGCTCCTGTGAGTTCAAACCAGTTGGTTGTGTTTTATGGCTCCTTTAGGGCTTCCTTCCCTCGATCAAACCGTCGCTGGCATCCTGACTTCAGACCAGACCCCACGTGGGCCTACATGTTTCACCCTGTGGTCCTGCACGCCACGAGGGGTGGATGTGCCATAGGCCCCGTTTGTAGTTCTTTTTCAGAAGGGGCAGGTTTTGGGGCACAGCTTTGGAGACACATAAAGTCGGGGAGGGAACAGAGGGGCGGGGGGAAGGACTGCATTAGCCCCATCTGACCGGGCACACGGGAACTTGGGCGATGGAGGCAGAGGCAAGACCTTGCACGCCTCTCCCTGGGACTACAGCTGCATGTAGCCTTAGGCGCATATTTTGAGCTGTTTCTATGGCTGCTCTCACAGCCTCTTCATAATTTCTGATTATTGAGATGAGCAGAGATGGCTTTCTAGCCAGCTCACCAGCCCCTCTCCTGCTGCAAGCTTGGGCAGGCTCTGAATCGGGGCTGGGGAAATGAACACTGAACAAGACTCTTTTGCCTTTTTATTTCTACTTCAGGAAGATAATTTTTCTACTCAACTCTATAGCATGACTCAGAGCCAGATTTAGAAAGGAACATGTCACCCTGTGTAGCCCTTCAACCAGGTACATTCCCTTCTTCCCCTCCCTGCTTCATGAACTGGAGAGAAGTACCTGAAAAATTCACTCTGGTCTCTCAGTAATGATAATCTTACCACTCTCACTGCCTCTGATTTTCATTAGCATGGGAAACAGTGGGCAACCAAGAGAGAAAGAAGAGTCCTCCAAACCACTTCTTTTTTTCAGGCAGGTAGGAGGGTGCTATAAGGAGTTCCTTTGTTTTTCCTTTTCTTTCAGAGGGATTGTTTGGGCCCAGCAAGGCTTGGCAAGGTTGGGTGTGTAAATATGAGAGGATACCAGAAGGAAATGAAGTTGGATTGTTTGAGAGTGTGCTCATTTCTTTGGCAGCACGCTGCATGGGAAGCGTGTCGCAGCAGGCATTTTAACAGACTGGGCAGGGGGGCGGACCTGTAGCCTGAAGTCTGGCAGGTCTCAAAATTTTCTATGCTCTCAATCCTTACTCCTTTTTTATTGCCCAGAAGTTAGCTGGGACCCACACTAAGTCCCATTTCACTATCTGGGAAAAGCAGACACTTGTATCCCCATTTTCTCCTCCTGCTCTGTTCTGAAGTCCTGGTAATAAAAGATCACCTGCCTCTCTTTCACATTGACTGAGCTCCAACTCCTCCTCATATGCAAAGCTGCATGTGTCAAGGCTAGAAACATTTCAAAGCAGAAGAAAGCAGCTGTTGACAATCCTTTACCAAATTTCCTTCAGTTTCTTAATGTAATTATCTTCCAATAGTCCACTCTCTCATAAAGTTTCTTTTCCAGAAGCTATATAATATGGCGTATCATTAACAGCACACTGTAGCAAAGGTGGCACTAGAATAAATATCAAACTTGTCTCTTCCTGGCATTTCCTTTTAAACGACAAAATCCATAA